TCTGGCGCCCCCCTCACCTCACCCGTTGACATTTGCCTGCAGCCTGAGCAGAGCCTGCACCCTGCTTTTTCATCTCCCTCCACTTAGCCTGCTGCCATGCTGGATGGTGGCACAGTCCTGCAGCCCACTCCAACCACATTGTCTCTAGTTCTGAGTCACTTGTGATCTGCTGCCCACTGGGCTATGCAGTTCCTGCTCCTGGACAAACCCTGCAGGTCACAGAAGTCGTCTGAAGGCGTTTGGCGCATTGTCTTTGCCCCCGGGCTCTCCGGCTTGGCCCTGGCCTGGCCTGGCCCAGACGACTGCTCCCTCAAAGGGCCTCAGGATGCGTGGATCAGCTGGACAAAGTGCTGTGGAACAGGGGGCCCTCGGGAGGGTGTGGATGCTGGGGTTCCTGTAGCTACGGCCGTGCTAGGGCCGGGGATTCCTGGGGATGCACGTGGTTACCAAGGGTCCAGGCAAGGTCCTTGTTATCTCAGAATCACTCGCAGACACTGTTCTAAGATCTCCACCCTCCAGCCTGGGAAGGTACGGAGATTATGCCCAAGAACTTTGCTTTCTGTGTATTAAAGATTCTGGGTCTTGCTATCATAGAAATCAACACAGAGAGACTGCTTTAAAAAAAAAATGCACGTGTGTCTATCTGTTTTGAAAACAATTGTAAAGGACCTCTTGCATACCAAAAGCTGTAACGTTTCTATGAAAATGGTTTTGACCTTGCTGACCCTCTGTCCTGGTGAAGTGCCGGCCTGTCCTAGGGTACTGCAGGCTTCTTTAAATGTCACAGAATGGAGTTTGGTTTGCATTAGCAGAGCCTGACAAGAAACCGCAGAAAGTGTGAGATGGTACAAGGCCCACGTGGTCAGGAATGACTAATCCCTTTGCCTCAGGGAAGTTGTTCTGTGTCTGTGTCATTCTGTCCGCCTGGGATACTTTCTGGTGTTTTTGGTTGAAATTTTTAATGTTCCGGAACAGATGATTTTAAAACGCAAAGGACAAAACTTCCTCACGAGCAAGCTCTGTTGATACTTCTAGCTTCTTTTACTTATTTTGAAGTTCATGGCAGTGTAGATTTCCTCTCCCCGCAGCCCCTGCAAAAAAAAAAAAAAGTGTGAAATGTTTTTGTCATTTTTGGTGGTTTTTGATCCTCGATCCTTGTCCCCAAGCCACTACAGCCTCTGAGCTTCCTGTGTGGTGGCCCCTGGACCACCACAGAAATGGGAATCACGCAGTGTGTTGCCTCTTGCTCATGCTTTTTGTGCTCAGTGTGGTATGTTATAGCTGGCCCTCGATCACATGCCTTTTGCCCTTGGGATCTTCCCACTCAGTGGCATTTGTCATTCTTGCACATACTTGGTGCTGTGCGCTTCTTGATGCTTTCATAGCCCCGCTCTGATCATGTGTTAATCAAGAATGCACTCCATCCCTGGATCTGCCCCCATCTCCCGTCCCAAGTCAGAGAACAAGGAGAAGCGGGAGCCTGCTGGGGACTGCGACATCAATGATGACCTCTGCGACTTCGCTCGCGGAGGAACCTTGGAACAATCAGATTTTGGGGTTTTGTAGGTTTTGTTTTTCTTCTCCCCTTCTTGAAAGAAGGTTGCTCTGAGTCCTTGGGGGCCCTTTGCTGTGTTCCTGGTGTGAGTTTGCACAGGAGGAGGTGTTGGATGTGGGGACACGATTGTCCCAGCATTGGTGGGGAGGAGGTGGTTGCTCTCATTCACTGCAGTTGAGGGACCACAGCTACCAGTTGTGTTGTTGGCATGGGGCGTCTGCTTCCCTCCAGTGCTTGCTGGAGCTCTGGGCATGCCCTACACTACAGGCTGGGCTTGCTTTCATCTTGGAAAAGGACTTGGAACCTGCCAGCTGCCCGCTGCTCTGGGAATGGCCAGTGGCTGCCCCTCTAGAGAACAGACTTGCTGACTATCCCTCAGCAGCTCTTAGGGATCCCCAAGGATAGTCAGGGTTCCCAGGGCTCTCTGGAACCCATGAGTAGACAAGTGGCAGATACAGCAGAATAGGAGTTAGTTCCATGGCTCTATGAAAAGCCATGAGGGCACTGGGGTTAGAGTGATTCACTTAAGCCACTGCTGTTTTACGGATCTGGTTTTTTGCTCAATGAAGAAGTACCTTCTCATTTTAAGTTTCCCATAATGCACAATTTAATGGGCTCTGCTTTATGTCCATTGCAATAAAAAAATTTGAAACGGCACCTGATTTGTACACTGCTTGGGGATGTCTCACAATTCAAGCTTCCATTCCTTGATGGCAAATGGCATCCTTCACCTTCCCTGTGTCTGCTGGTTGGTTGTCTTCAGTGGTGTGGCAGGAGGAGAGGTTCTGAAGACGTATACACCACCCAACCCCTGCTCCCCATCCTACACATGGGTCCCTAGAGACCCCAGAACAGCCTGAAGCAGACCTGAGCACCCTGTACCAGGCCTCGGGCAATTTCAGGTGCCTTCTTTTGGCATGGGGTGGCTAAGCCCAGGTCAGCTCCCTATGTCTCCCCCACAGAAGAACCTGCTGGCTCCCAAGGGCCAATGCTGCCACCGGAAGTGGCCTACAATGTGCCTGGGAGGGGGTGGGCAGGACTTGTGAGCTTGGAGTCAAAGCTATCCCTAGGAGTTGTGGGGCAGTCACAGAGCATAAACCTGGTAAGGCAGGAAGCAGCTTCTGACCTGAAGTTCAGAAGCTTAGGACTGGCCTCGGCGGGCTGACTCGAGGGTACTAAGGGTGCCTTGCGCTTTCTCAATGCCTGTCCCACCTCCCTGTTCAGAGCCCATGGAGGAGGCTGGAGGGGCCTTCCCCATGTGGCTGCATCTCTCCAAGTCTGACCTTGCATGCTGCGTTGTGGTTTCATCATCCTGTGCAAGAGTTCCCAGTGGAGACTTGGCTGGACACCCACCCTCCTGTGCTGATGGTGAAATTATTCCTTCTCTGTGTCTGTTCTTGTGCCTCTCAAAACACAAACCATGGAGACTTAGAATAAGCAGGTAAGTAATTTTGGTGCAAGAGATTTGGAAATCCAAAGATATATTACTCTGTACATTTCTATGAATGTTTTTGAAGATCCCCAATTTGAAAGTGTTATTGTTTTCTATTGGAACCTGGGCTGAATTCATAATTGGTGCTGGAGATGGCCCCTAAGAGCTTCTGCTTGGTTATTCTGGGATTGGGTTGATGAATTACTCATGAAGGGCAGAACAGCCCTCCTTGCCAGTAGGACATGGGACATGAACCCTCAAATAGATCCTTAGTAGTCAAAGAGATGACAGGCAGGCAGGGGGAAAGCATGGCAATGAAAGGGCATCTGAGCATTCCAGAGTCCCATGGATTCTTGGGGTTGTAGAGGGCATATACGAGGAGCAGGAGGCTTTAGAAACCCCAGCCCCATCTAGTCAAGCTGCAGGAAGGCCTTGAAGGGTCCCTCTTCTCCTTGGCTGAGAATCCAGGGCCAGGAGACATGACCAGGCTGTGCGTCTGCATCCGTGGCTACAACACCAGGGCAAGGTAGAGTAGGAACACCTACATGGACCAGTTGAAGGCCAAAGAAATGGGCCTGCCAGTGTTGCCTTGGATTCCATCCCCCCTTTGTCCCCTGGGAGCAGTCCCTTCTCCATCCCGTCCTCCTCACTCCATCCAAGGTTGGGAACCCATCCCTCTTCTGCCAACAGCCTTGAAATGGCTGTACCTGCACTGTTGACCCCTGGGCTGACACTGGCTCCTGGGTGTTCCCCTGCATACACTTGTTATACTCCCCTAAAATGACTGCTGTGGTCAGGGCCAGACAGGTTGAAAGCCAATAGCCTGAGACTTCACCCAGGACTCCCATATGTGTGGCAGGAGAGCAGAGATGTTGACCGTCTTCCCACTGCCTTCCCAGGGTGCCGGACTGGAAAGCAAAACAGCTGGAACCTAATCCACCACTCTGCTGCAGGACTGGAGTTCCAGGCACAGGCTTACTGGTTTTGCCAAAATGGAGCCCCCATCTTTCAAGTGTGAGTCCATGAAAATACTCAACTTACATTATTTTTTAACCATAATTCTTACTGAACAAGCACAATGGAGCAAATGCAAGGTGCCCATGGGAGGGGCACCCAACCTGAACAGCAGGAAGCTTGGGGGAGGTGGTCTGTCAGCTGCACAGGCAGGGGCACTGCAGGGCACCAAAGGGTGTCCTCAGTGTGTATCCAGAGTGGCCAGGGCCATGCCTTGTCAGTGCCACTAGTCCTGATCCTCAGGTAACAAGTGGTAGGTGGTAGGAAGTGTTTGCCATGAGCCCTTTTCCTGGAGAAAAAACTGGATGTTGGGGGAGGGAGGAAGTGGCTCAGGCTGGGGAGGGGACAGGCAAGGAGTAAGAAGGTGAAGCCACAGCCAACCCAAGGTGATCCTGGCACCCTCCTCTCTCTGCAGGCAGCTGGCCACCTGCCAAGAAGTGGGCCCACACGCAGTCAGAGCATAAGGTTTCTGTTTTATTGTCTGTAAACTCTTCTTTGGTTAAGGAGACAAAGGGAGCCAAGGAGAAAGAGGAACACATCAAGGGAAAACGGCAAGGCAGGGGCGGGTGCCCCCACACGAGAGAGACAGCTACACCAGCAGCAGGGTGGTGGAGGGCCCCGGGGGCCTGGGGCAGGGGCAGCCGGAGGGACAGAGAAGCCTACACCACACAGTGACAGAGCTCATGCATCACACGGGGGTTGGGACGCTCCACCCATGGCCCCCATCCACCATCCGTGCAGCTGGGAATGCTCTTGGGGCAGAGAGTCTGCTTAGCTAGGGCTGGGTGCCAAAAGGCCACCCAAGGGGCCAGCAGCAGTCCACGCGCTGTCTCCTTCCCTGCAGGCTGGTGTGTGCAGCTTGCATGGGGCAGGCGGAGGGGTACCCACAATCTCTCTATCTGGGTGGGATGTGTCAGAGCGGCAGGGGTGGCTAGGCGGGGGGTCGGGGTGGGGTGGGGGGGTAGAGACGCAGCCCCTGTCCTCCACCCCCGCCCCCTTTTACATGGGCGGCTCGCTGCACAGCACAATCTCCAGGTCCTTGCGGTAGAGCTTCCCTGCCTCGGCTAGGGACATGACACTCTTCCTGTAGCTGGTGAGCTGCTGGATGTTCATCTCCTAGGAGACACAGCAAGAGGGTGAACGCAGGCTCAGGGGATGACCCCTACCAGAAGCCCCGCCCCCTCCCCACCTGACAGACACACCCACAGGTCAAACTGGCTCCTGTGGTACACCGGTGTGAGTGGCGTGGGGAGTCATGGGCTTTGAAATCAGACAGACCTGGTGACTTTGGGGGGAAAGAAGTCACCTTTTCAGAGATTTAGCTGCATCCACCTGTACAGTGGCACCTGCCTCACTGAGGAAAGAGAATCAGAGGAAACAACACAGATAAACAGCCCTCCACAGGACGGTAGCCATGGTAATGGCAATTATGATCTGTGTGTAGCCTTGGCTATATTCCACCAACTTGTCAGGCCTCCACCCACTCATCCCGTGCTGGGGACAGACGTCCAGGAAATCCCCAATTTAACAATCCCTGACTTTGTGCCACCACTTGGTGCAAGGGTGTTTTTGCAGGCTCTGCTAGCTCAGGGTGGGATGCAGGACATCTCCTCCAGTGTTGGGTACTCTCTGGATGTGTCACCTAATAATACCAGGATATGCCTGAGCTCTCTGTCACTCAAGACCCCATATTACAACTCCCATGGTAAAACATGGCTGCGGCAGACAACAGCCCCGAAAGACAAGCTGCTTCACGTTTTCTGCTTGTCACCGGGGAGTGCTGAGAAGGCCTAAGGAGTGCAGGTTCGGTCCCCCCAGCCTGTCTGCAGAAACCTCATCTTGGTCCGAGCCAGCAGCATCTGCCATGCAGGGATGGGATTCCCCCATAAATGGTCTTCCCTTCCCACCGCAGGCACTGCTGGGTAGTCCAGCCTGCACTATCCCCTTTCTGTTGATTTCTGGTGTCAGAGTGTTGGTGCCTACCCAAGCCTAGTACAGGTGGCAGGCTCTCAGGTGCACAGCTTCACTGATACCCTGGGTCTCGAACCCTCGGAGCCCCAACACTGCAACTTGTAACTTCTGTCTTCCAATCTGGGCTGCTCCTATGGCAGCCACAAGTGCTTCCCTTTTATTCAGAGTTTGATAAGCTCATGACCAGGCACTCTGGGTCTCTCAGATTCAAGCCTTCAGGGTTTGTGGACCTCAGGTGCCAGGCAGGGCCTCATGAAAATGAATTACACTTGATGAATCCAACTGTAGTTCCGGGTGTTCGTGGAAACAGGAAGGACGTGGAAATGTCTGTGTAGAACTAGGTTCATAGGAAATGTTGGCCACAAACACCTGCCAAGGACTTCCTTCTATTGCAAACTGTTTCTTTGGGTTTGCTTTCTGCCTCTTTCAGAAACGCAATTACAGGTGACATAAAAAACCATAAATTTAGGCTGAAATATGCGAAGGGTGATATTTAGGACAAAGATGAGATCAGAAGGTACTTGGAAAGGGAGACAAATAGACTTGGAGGCTTCAGTGAATTTTCTCCTGAAATTGAGCATTAAATTTAGCTCTTGCTGCAGGCAGACAACTCCAGGAATTACAGGGCTTTCATCATCTGATTAAAGAAAGCAGCAAAGCCATTTGCTCAGTGCAAGACCAGTTCCAGGAGGTGCAGGCAGGCAGCTGCAGAGGCCAGGGCTCCAACCGACCCCTCCCATCCAACTGCACGAGATGAGCCCACCAGAGGGCCCCTGGGGGCAATCTCACTCAACACCAGCAAAGAATGGGGTTCACTGTGAGCAGTTCTTCCTCTCAGCTGCTCCCCTAGATACTGTGCCAGTGGATTCTGCACAGCCTTCCCATCCCACTGACTCCTGGTGCCGACATCTGTCTGCATAAAGTCTTGGTGAGGTGGTCATTGGCAGCGTGCCTTTGTCCCCAAGCATACTGAGGACCAAATCAACCCCAGTGTCACAGCTGAGGGACAGGCCGAAGAAGCACGGTGCATGCACATGACACACCATGATCCAGCTTCAAAAGGAAGCGACCGTCTGCCGCATGGTGTGGCCCAGATGACCATTAGGACACCACGCTAAGTGACACAAGCCACTTACAAACAGTTCGTGTGGTTTCCACTTGTGTGAGGTGCCCACAGCAGTCACAGAGATAGAGCTGGGGTAGGGACCAAAGGGGCGTTTACGTCTCATGGTGCAGAGGCTAGTCCATGAGCAGCGCTGGGCCACGTACTTTGTGTCAGCAACTTGAGCAGCTAAAACTGGACAAGATGCTACATTTTCTGTTCTGGGAATTTTGACATCATTCAGTGTAGGAAGAATTCTCACTCCGTGAACCAAAAGCTCAAAAGGCAGAGCCGAAGCCAGAACCGCGCCCTTGCCATGTGATGGAGGGCCCAGACAGAGCAGCGTGCAGCTGGAGGCCTTGCCCTGCAGCAGCCTCTCCTCTTCCCCCGGGGGCTCCCCCTCCACAGGGACAGCGCCACAGGCCCTGGGCCCGTCACTCACCTTCTTGTTTTTCTCGTACAAATCCTTTAGGAGGGCGTCCAGCTCGTTCTCATCGATGTAGCCGCTGCCGTCCTGGCGGTGGGGCAGGCAGTCAGCTCAAAGTGCTGAAATCTGGCCACTTTGGTCTGAGCCCTTGCTTCCCCCCGCGCCCCCTGCCCAGGCAGCTCTCAGGGGCCAGCCCTCCTGTTACTCTCCCAAGGAGGCATATACACCTCCTAAGGAAACAGTGGCTCATCCCTTCCCTCCTCTGCAGTCGGGCAGTGCAGCCTGGGGCACCTCACTGCACCCTTCACCGAGCCTTCCCTTTCACGATTCCTCTTGTCAGACAGCAGAGGGCGCTCCAGAGCCGCGGCCCTGGCGAAGTCCACTTCCAGGAATGAGGCCTTTCTGCCCAGGGTGACAGAGCCTCCAAATCGTGGCACTCCCTCTTACCTTGTCGTAAAAGGTGAAGATGGCATTGAACTCCTCCGAGGTCAGCTTCATGCCCTGGAAGGACACAGAGGTCACCAAATGTTGCAAGCTCCGAGGGAGAGAGCCAGTGGAAGTGTCCCTGTGGCTGGACTGGGAGTGGAGGGGAGGGTAGCAACGCAGCTCAGACTGGAGGGGAAGGAGGCAGTGGAGGAGAGTGTAGCAGCTGTTACCTGGAACTTAAGCAGGAAGTTTTCCTGGACAGGCAAGAGTCTGGAAAGAGTGTTACAGCAGAGGTCAAGAGCAGAACCTGGGCCGGGACACCCCTCCCCCCACCAGGATGGGAACTGCGGGGACCCCCCCCCCCACCTCCAGGAGCATGGAAATGACCTCCAAGGATTAGTAATCAGAGTTACTGCAAAGTCCGAGAAAGAAGGGGAATGCACAAAGCCGGGTTGGCATCAGTTCCCTCTGGTGTTGTCGCGAGCTGCCAGACCCGTCACGTTTGCCAACTGAGCAGAGCAGCACTGGGGAACCCCGATGGGGAGGAGGGGGTGAGGGCAGGTGCTCACCGGGACATCTCTGAGAGGCCCAATTTGCCGTCCCCGTTCAAGTCAAACATCCGCAGCTGCAGGGGGAAGGGCGGGCGGGGTTATTGGCTTTGACCTTTCCCAGGTGGGACACTGATTTGCCACAGTCAGCCCCTGGGGAAGGCAGCGGGCAAGGGACTGTGGTGGCTGCCATACAGTAGGCCAGCACCCAGGGCCCACCCTTTCCAGGAGCTGAAGGGGTTGCTATGGAAGCAGACGCTTGTAGCAGCAGGGGAGCTCAGAGAGAGGAAGGGATGGGGAGGGGGAGACAGATCATGAACTTGCATCCTTTGTGTCAATTGCCACCCTGAGTTACTTCATCTGGACCTGGAGAGGCTGCAGACCAAAGGCCTCCCTACCCCCAACTGAGCGCCAGGGGCACAGGACCCCTCATGTCCCGCACCCTGGGGCCAGGTATCCTCGCGCCCACTCACTATGGTGTGGGTGTACTCCTGGAGCTTGGCTTCATCATATGGCCGGTTGGCCTTCTTCAGCAGGTCGGACAGGAAACCCTGTGGGACAGAGCACAGCCTCCTTGGTTCAGTCCCTCGTTGATCCACTTACCTGCTCACTCAGTCCCTGGGTGCCTTCTGACCCCTGACCTTTCCCACTGGCCCCCCAATGACACAGTTTCTACTGGTGTGACCACAGGCCTTGGGCCACCTTGGAGTGACCACAAATTCCCACTCCTCCTCCAAATCCTCCACTGCTCTGGCCTCAGGCCCCATTCCCTGGGCCTGGTGCCCCCTGCCCAAGCCCTGCCCTACCTTGAGCTCATTGGCTTCGATGTAACCGCTTCTGTCTGTGTCGTACTTCCGCCAGGCCTATGGAAAGAAGTGGAAACATCGGGCTGCTCATGGAGAGGCAACAAAACTATACCTGCGCAGCCCCCCGCTCTCTGCTCCCTCCCTCCAACCCAGCCAGGCTGGGTCTTGGTTATTTACAAACATTGGAGTGGGCCAGGGTTGCCCAGCCCCTTCACTGACCCAGAGGAACAGATTGGGGCCACTATCTTGGTCAGGATCATAGGAAGCGGGAGAAAAGCCCCCTGTTCAGGTCTCCCTCCTCTGCTTGGCACAGGCGTAGTTCTCCCTGGCTCAGCTTTGCATCCAGGGTGGGTGTTTCCTAAGGGATAAGCAGGCAGCAGCTGCTGCCATGGCTGGAGCAAGGCTCTGCCGGATTGGAGCTTTGCTGTAGGTATACAGGAGATTGACTCCTCTCACCCCAATCTCCGAGGCTGGTGGACACAGGACCCATGCCTCCCTGGATGCCCATGTGCGCTGGCTCCGGGCTCAGCTCCGAGCCCTCGTTGTTTGGGAGTTGCATTGGATTCCTGGCAGGAGCCAGGACACAGCCTGCTGACCATTGCATCTGGTGGGGTGCGGGGAGGGTCTTCATCTATTTGATTAAGACTGGTGACAGGGGCTCTGTTACGGCCATCCAGGAAGGGGCAGGCATTGCACAGGTGAAAGAAGGAAAAAGGTTGCCACCGTGTAACGAAGTCCATAAATTCTCTACTTCCCTTCCCAAGATGGGACCCAAACCCATTTCCTGATGTTAGCGGCTCACTTCCAATGAGCACAGGGCCAGCAGCTGTGACTTCTGACAATAGGACACCGGGTCATAAAACGTGCTGTACCTTCCTTCTCTCTCTCCCTCTCTCTCCACCCCCTGCCCCCATCCCTTGCTCTGGAGGGAGCTGGGGGGCAGCCAGGTTGTGAGGTGCTCAGGCAGCCCTTGATGAACCTTCCTGCCAACAGCTAGCCAAGCTTTTAGCAATTGCCATGAGAGCGAGTCATCTTGGAAACACATACTTCAGCCCCAGTCGGGCCTTCAGATGACTGGGGTCCTGTGAGAGACCTTGGACCCGAGTCACCTACCTACACTGCTTTTGAATTCTCGACCTCAGAAACTCTGAAATAAGCCATGCCTGTTGCCTTAGACTGCCCAGCGTTGGGATTAATTTGCCACATAGCAATGCGTACAGTCAACCACCTAAGGACACTTCCGAAAGTTCATGGGAAAAGGAATCAAAAGATAAATTTGGTGGAAAAAAATTGTTCAAAATCCATGCATAGATTATTACTATATTTCAATGTTCCATTTTTAATGAACTTGTGCAATGGCTCTTGTTTACTTAGATTTCAAAATATTTTGTAACAAAATAAGCTTGTCTTTTCATTCCATTTATGGTGAGCATTTTAAAATCTGAGTGTACCTCAGCACTTGACTTTGGATGACCAACAGGCTGGTGCTCCATTTTCTCCCCCCTCCTCCCCCACTTCTCCATACGTGTGCCCCTGTGACTGTTAGGGGTGCCAGAGTCTCTGGGTCTTTCAGGGTCTTTCTCACTGGCATGCTGGGCTGGGTAACTGTCACTCTTCATCATTATCAGGGCTCAGGGACTTGAGTCCTGGTTTTTGCTTTCCCCTTATTTGAGCAAATCTCAGTAGGGTAGACTGACATTGCAGACAATTTGGGTAGATGGCCACATAATTAGGAGTGGGTTTTTTTTTTTCAGTCAAGAGAAAAATGCTCTGGGACCTGTCAAAATATTCCTTCCTCAGGACGCTCATTCAGCGCCCAGATTGGGGTATCACCCGGGGCACATGTATCCCAGATTGGAGGACCTGGATTCGCCCTGGCTCTGCTCCGTCCAGCTGACCACTCAGTCGAGTCCCTCCTGGATCACATGGAGGTTTGTGGAACATTGGGGTTAGTCACGTATTGGACTGAATCCAATGGAGCTTCAATGTTTGTAAGTAGAAAAATGTTTTCACTATCAGCAATTTCTTAGTGTTCTCTCTTGGCTGAAGACCCTTGGGTTTGAGTGGCATCTTTCCCAAAAGGATCACAGAGACTTTGTATTGCAAAGAAGGCAAGACCTATTTTAAGGGAGCCACAGAGCCCAGACCACAAAGATCAGGCCCTGGAAACCAGAATCCTCATAGCGGGGTGGGGGAGAGGGACTCCTGGCTTTATTTATGCATTTGAAAGGCAATGGAGGGAGAGAGAGAGGAGAGAGAAGTGGACAGACAGAGACCTTCCATCCCCACATGTATACAACAGCTGGGGCCAGTGGAGGCTGAAGCTGGGAGCTGAATCCAAGTCTCTCATGTCAACAATAGGGACCCCAAAACTTGAACCCTCTCCTGCTGCCTCTCAGGGTGGATATCAACAAGAAGCTGGAATCTGAGACAGTCCTGACACTTGATCCCAGACCCTCCAATAGGGGCTCTAAGCACCCCGACCAGCAACCCAGTCCGTGTGCCCAGCTCCTGTCCCTTTTGTGACTTTATCCTGCTGAGCCTGCTCCATGGCACTCTGACAGTAGGGACACAGATGTCACCCGATGGTGGGATACCCCAGGCCACCATGTCTTGGCTGCAAAGTATCTGCAGAAGTCTATGACAAGTTCTCCAATGTAGGATGCAATTCCCAAATATCCTTGACCCCAAACTGACCCCACACTCTTACCATGCACTCACATCATCCAGGGGGCTCGTTAAAGTGTAGATCCTTCATCCAGCAGGTCCGGGAACCTGACACCCCAACAAGCACCCCGGGGTGCTGATGTCACCAGGCCACCCCAGAGTGCTGAGGGGCTAAGCCCATGTCAGGCCCATCCCCAGACTGACCCGGTGAGAGGCAGAGCTCAGGACCCAGAGCGAAGACGGTGCCTTCCTCACCTCCATGAACTCAGCGCTGGAGCCCACGCACTGCCTGAAGCACAGAAGGAAGCTCTCTTCCGTCGGTAGGATCTGCGCCAGCTGCAGGGGGATAGGGGACACAAAACAACACCCAAGTCACAGAGGGATTGTACTCCTGCCAAGGGTGGGGTGGGCAGGGCAGTGTTGTTCTGCTCCCTGTGGCTGCCTGCCTTGGGAATGGGGGGTTGGGGCAACAGCATCCTGAGAAGTGCCAGTAGCAGCCTCCTGGCTCAAAAGAGTACTGAAGCAAGGGCTCTGTTCCTCTGCAGGCCTCCCACCACCTAATGCTCCTGGAAATCTTGGGGCCATGGAAAAATCCTATTTAAGCCAACCACATGATGTCCTCCTATTCGCATGGCCAGTGGTTGGCTTATGGAGAGGCATGTGACCTGGTTCTGGCCAACGAGCGGTGAGAGGAGGGCTGGCTGAGGGGGCTTCTGGGAAAGGCACTGTTGATTACGGGGTCAGGGTTGCACTTGGATGTGATGTCTGGAGCTGCTGTGACCACTATGCCACCAGCCGCAGGGTTGGTGGGGGTGGGGGGAGGCTTTGGAGGGTCAGAGGGCAGAACCAAGAGGTTTGTAGAGAAACAGAGGTGGGGACCTGCCCTACCCATGGCCTCTTTCACTGGGAGCTCCTCCTGGCTTAAGACAGGAGTCAGTGAGCCACCACGGCCCACCAGCCGACACAGCCAAGGCCTGTTGGTGACGTTTCACCACTGGCTCTCCTCAGGAACGTACTGCCTGCACCTACCTTCAGGCTTCAGGGTCAGAGATGTCTTTGTGGACAATCTCTGATCTCCATATCATGTCCATCACCTGCAGCCTGAGCATCCCTAAGGTCCCCTCTTAGTGTCCCGACCTCCTGCTCCCATGCTTGGGGCAGTGAGGGTTGATTGCTTATGGCTGCCCCCTGCAGGGCATCTGCGGAGCTCGTTCACACCCAGGAATCCATGGCAGGAGGTTCCACTGGGCTGTGTGACCTGGAGGACGCAGTGGTCTGATCAGGCTGCCTCCATCGTCATGCTTGACCCCTTAACTATGGGATGCGTGCTTGTGTCTACCCTGTCCCATGTAAGACAGGGAGAGGGAGCATGTGCCTGTTGCATGTGCGAGAAATATGGATATATGTTTGCATGTGTAAATTACCTAGATAGTTGTTTGTGAACTCTACACACACAGAGGGCTATGTGAATATCTTAAAACATCTGGCCTTTGGATGCCTCTGGGTGGGCTGGAGCTTTCCTTCGCCAGTCTCCCCACCCCTCCTGTCTCAAGGCAGGTTCCTCCCACCGTTGTAACAGCTATTGGACCCCGAGGACACTTCCTGCCTTTCTGTCCTAGGTCACTACTGGTTGCCCTCTGTGGTCACCCTAAGTGCCATGGGCAGGGACTTTAAGGTTCCCAGGAGGAGGCACCTGCCCGAGGAGATGCACAGGGAGCCGGGGTGGGGTGAGGGCGGCCCGCCCAGCAGCCCAGTGCTCACCTCGGCCATCTCAATCTTCCCGTCCGAGTTCTTGTCGTACTTCTGCATGAACTCCTTCATCTTCTCCCCGAAGTTGTCGCTCTTCAACATCTGAGGACAGGAAAGGGGGGCTCAGCTTGCTGCCGCCGCCTCCACTGCATCCCACAGCAGTTCCAGGTCTCAGCACAGCCCAGCTGGCGGTCACCCTGTGTCCCTGACCTACATGGGCATGGAGCTGGGTTCTGTCGATTCTCTCATGGAGATCATTCCAGATGCACCTAAGTGTCCTTCAGGGTTCGGTTACGTGATTTTCAAAGGCAGGTAGGATACTGCGGTGTGACCCTCAGGGTTCCTGAGACGGACCGAAGCCCTCTCTGTAGGAATGCTTGGGATGTGCAGTGGACGCCAGCAGACATGCAGCTGGAGGGGAGGCGAGGTGTGACCAGCCAAGGACCCCAGTAAGCTAGAGAAAGCGAGCAGGTCTGACCCCACAAACTCAGCTCCAAAACACCTCCCTTAAGTGAGTTTAGCAAGTCCTCCCCAGCTCCCATGGTACAGAGTTTAATAGACACCCTTGCATCTGCACCATGGTTAAGAAACTCTGGTTTAGAACAAAGGCATGTGTCGTTGCCCGGGGCATCCAATCTTGACCCCTCTGAGCATCTTAGGGAGGCTGTAAACTTTGCCAGTAGCAGACTAATACTGTAAATGCAAATGGCATCATGAAACAGCTTCAGGGGGCTCATAACTCCTGCTACCCCGTCACAAACACCCTTTATCCCAGCCACCCAAGTATACTGAGGCAATGAGTGGGCATTTTTAAAAATTTTTAAAAATCTGTACAAATAAAATGCTAAGTGTCAAGGCCAGAGGTCTCCGGTCTGTAGATGGGATACACACCTTGGGATAGGCAGCCCTGAGAGCCAACGGTCAAGTTCACAGAGAATCCCCAGCCATGGCAGGGGGTGGAGCTTACCATGCCAGAGCCTTTTCTTGCTTTCTCCAGCTCTTGGAAAAAGTTCTCCAGCTCTTTCCCTTCAATGTAGCCATTTCCTATAAAGAAGGGGGAACGAGGAATCAATCTTAGAAGTAAGATGGTGGTGGGGAGACAGTTGGGGGCTGTATGAAAAGAATGTCTCTCCCCATTGGTCCCCAATGCAGCAGCCAGACCAGCTGCCTTAGGGAGGTGGGGCTTGTCTTCCGGGCAGCTGCCCCTTAGGGATCTGACGTCAGGAGGAGTGTGTGCCTGGGCCCTGTACTTGGCAGCTGGGGTATCCTAGGAGGCACTAACTTCTGGACCAGAAGCTGGGAGATTCGCCCTCTTCTGGGATCACCTGGGCAAGCACTTCATGGCAGAGGTGCCATGGGAGACAAGCCATCAGCTTCTGAAGTTATCAGCAGGTGGCAGTCCCCAGTTCGAGGCAGAGGTTGGGCCCCTGAGGATCAGGAGGTGGATGGAACCCAAGCTTTCCTCCAGAATCCAGGTCTGCGCATCGTAGAAACCCTGGCTGCCTCTAGACGCTCTGCAGTGACTGGCCTGGGTGTGAAGCAGGCATCACACTCACATTTCAACGCTCCCAGGGTGACTTCTGTGCCCAGCCACGGTTGGAATTCCTTGACTTCATGTCTTGTCTGAAAACTGGTCCAGAGCAGGGGAGCAGGGTTCCCCCAGATACTGGGCTTGAGCAAAAAGGGGGTCGGAGCCTCTGGGGCAAACAGAACTGTAAATTTCAGCAAGAGACAAAAAAAAGCATCTCTCTGCTGCTTCCCCAAGCAGTTCTGTTCCCTAAATAACCTGGGAGGACCCCACTAGTGAAGTGGCCACCATAAATAGTGAATGGAAACTCACATGGGATAAATTATGGATTTCTGTCTGCAGGGTAAAGATGTGACCAGTGAGCAGGGAGGTAGGGCTGGAGTTTCCTTTTTTTTTTTTTTTTCTGGGACAGTCATCTTTCTTCTAGGGTGTTCTACAAAGTATCTTGGGAGAAGTGGAATTTTACAGTCTATTGCAGTGAGGGACAGTGGAGTGGGGGGAGGGCAAAGAGGCCATGGTCATACAGAGAGTCAGCGGGTGCTTCTGCTGCTGCAGGGCTCCGGCTGTCCTCTCACTGCCTAGGTGTGATCTCTTGGAGGAGAAGGCAGATTCGCCCTCTCTCCCTTGGAGCCTTTGTGGAGTGAGACAGAGAGGGCGGAAGCTTGGCTCAGATGAGCTGAGCTCTAGGTCTCTTGGCAGCTTGTAGTAGCCTGAGACCAGTTGGGAGGCTGGTGGCCGGAGGCCGGAGCACTCAACAGGTGACACAGTGGCCACAGGAGCTGTGCCCTGAGGCCACGCTGGGCAGAGGCGGGGTGAGTGTGTCTGTGTTTGTTGAGTGTATCAGGAGTTGGCCGAGACGAGACGCGGGAGGAGGGCAGCTGCATACTGCTGGGAAGCCAGGAGGTGCTCCTGAGAGATGGCCGGAAGCCTTGGTTCTGCAGCCCCACCAGCTTCCCCATGCTGCACCGGAGCCTCACTTCCCATCACGCAAGTGGGCCTCACTATGAGCTGTACGGAAGTGAGCAGTACCCAAGCCCTGTCTAATTCCATCCCCGCTGGACGCTGGGTGAGGGCATCCCCCCACCTACTCTATACTGGAGTGGGCCTCTCCTTCACCATGATGAGTGGCTGCTTGCCTTCCGTCTAACCACGTTCTGTCACTTCCAGTAAATCCTGCTGTCCTCACGCCTGACACCTCCTCCTTGAGCTCCTGCCTGCCTAGTCTAAGTCCACCAGGGGCCCTGCTGCCCATATAGCATAGTGTTTGACATTTCCTCTTTTAAAAAACATTTGAGAGGCACAGGAGGCACTCTCCCCTACCCACTGGTTCACCCCTGAAATGTCTGACAGGGCCTCAGCCATGAAGCTGAAGCCGGCAGAGGCGGGAAACTCCTTCCAGGTCTCCCATAGGGGTGACAGGGACCCCAAGCACTTGGGGCAATCTCTGCCACTGCCTGCCCAACATGCACACGAGCTGGGGACATAGCCAGGATTTGAACCCAGGCACTCAGATATGGGATGGGGGCAGGGCAGTGCCCGAAATCTTTTCACAAGTCAAGGCCATGTCCCTGCCCTACAAGGCAGCTCAGAGATGCACCCCTCCCCACCCTCACACTGCAGGGTCCCTGCCTTGCCAAGGCCTATCCAGGCCTGTCCAGCCCCATCCACCTGCTGTCTAGGGCGTGGCACAGGGACTGTTCCTGCTTGTTGGGACACCGACACCCAGTCCTTCTCTTCTCTCTGTCAAGCGCAGGCTCAGGTATGTGGCTGTGTGTCCCTGTGTTCCTGTGTGTACATGTGTTAGTGTCTGTGTGTTCCTGTGTGGCTGTGTGTAATTGTGTACATTTGTGTGTGTCTGTGGCTGTGTGTCCCTGTGTGGGTGTGCACACACATGTATGTGCAGAAGGTCTCTGCTCCTGCTTTGGCTTCCCATCCACCTTTGGGAGGCCCTGCCATCAGAGGCTGGGCTAGGGGTCAGGTTGGCTGGCACCCTTCTAGGAGGGACTTCCCACAGTGACCTCCTTGCACGGGTGGGGTGACTGGCCACCAAGCAAGTCTCATGCAGCCAGGCAAGGATAAAGATGTGGTTGCCATGGTAACCCTCATTCCTAACCTCCTTATCCAAACACATCCTGTGCACTCCAGGGAGAGGGAGCTGGTGGAGCGCCAAGAACCCAGCATCCTTCTTGCCCCACCCCATGCCTCAGTTTCCCCAGATGTGACATGAGATGATGTTGCCCCTCTCCCGTTTCCCTGTCTCCCCCTCCCCGAGGCAGGCACTCTATGCCCTGCAGCGAGGCCAGCCTCTCTGGGTTTGCTTTTTTTCCTGACTTGCCCTTTGAGCTCTTCTCCTAGCTGAACAGGTGAGAAGCACCAGCCCTGTGGCTACCCACATCATGCTGACCCTCTCAGCATCTCCAATACAGGCAGAACCGTGGCTGCCTGTAACCCTTCAGGCCTCCTGGGCGGGCCCAGCAGGCACTGTTGGTAGAACACACCGGAAATGCTCGGTTGGTACAGGGTGTCACTTTTATTATCTCTTACGAGGCTGCCTGTGTCCACCATAGGTTAGAACCCTTCTGCCCGCCCAGAGTGTCCAACTCTGCTATTGTGTGTGTTTTTAAGAGCACTGGTTCTCAGCCTAGGTGGGGTACCAGGACCATCTCCCTGCCAAACCAACGGGAGGTGCCTCTAACAATGCCTTTCCTAGGGCCCCACACCTGCCTGGGGCCTCGGGTATAACAGATAGGGGTAGGGAGATGGTTTCGGAGCTTTTGAGTGATTCTGATGCGCAGCCAAGCTTGGCATGTCCCAGACTTCAAGGTGCCTGAAAGCCCCCGGGAGGCACCTTGCTGAGATGAGGACTCTAACTTGGTAGCTCAGGGCTTGCTGCTCCAGTGGTCTGGGGCCAGTGGGACAGGAACTGCCTGGGAGCCTGTCGGTGATGCTGTGTGCCTGGGCCTGACTTCCTGTGTCTGCTCTGCTGGGGTAGAGCTCTGTAATCCGCTTTTTCAACCAGCCTGGGTTTTGCCACACTGAGATCAGGGACACAGCTGCAGCAACCCCACCTGGGTGCTTGGTGGGAATGCAGATTCTCAGGCCCCCGCCCTGGACCCTGCTGAATGCTGGGCTCTGGCAGGGGTGGGGAGGACCCTGAGAAGCTGTGGCCTGTCTGTGTGCCCCATCCCTTGTAGCTCAGCAGCCCTGGTGGTCGCCCTGAGAATGTGTGGTGGGGATTCCACTTCCTGGCTACCCCCCAGCAGGAAACATCCGCAAGGCCAGGCCTTTTGGTGCTCTGTCTGGAGGCTCCTCTATCAGGAACAAGCATCTCTCCCACCCACCTTCCCCAGCTTGGGCAACCCTTGGGACAGTCGCAGGCCACTTCCTGGACAGGCAGCTGGCTCCAGCAAGCTCTGCCTGGTGGGGGATACAGTCCTGGTAAAGAGCTGCCCATTCCCCACTTCCTCCTGCCTCCCCAGTTCCATCAGGGTCTCCCACCACTTTGGACAAGAGGAGCTTGAGGGTGGCAGGAGGTGGGGCCATGTAGCTAATAGAAGTCCCGGGCCAGCACCTGCCAGGGACAACTCCCTCCATGTGGGTTCTGGCTCTCTCTCTCTCTCTGTCTCACACACACACACACACACACACACACACACACACACACAGAGTTCCAGTAGCTCCTAGAGAAACAGAATTCACCCCCTCAGCGAATGGCTACTAGGTGGCCGTTGGGACACTTGGGGCACTGTGCTCTCAAGCAGTGACACATCTGGAAGTGGCCGGGCAGCTGGACCTGGTCTCCTGAACCAGTGGCCATCTGGCAGCCCCAGTGCCAGGCCGAGTCCCAGGAGCAGGGGAGGCCAGAAGGATGGGACAGATTGAGTGAGAGTGGGGGACTTCAGAGAGCCCACTAGGAGAGCCAGGGCCATGCTGGAGGCCTCGGTGGGACTGGGGTAGGGAAGGTGGCAGTGGTGGTGCATGATGCAATTGTCAGGAGGGCACCAGGTGGCGGGGCCAGCACCGCAGGGGCTCCGTTCTTGGACAGCCTGAGCTGTTAACTGTGGCTCTCTGGGCGATGGTAGAGGTTTCCCGAGGGGTTGTCTGAGCCCTGGGACCTCCCCAGGGACTCAGTTAAGTAAAAGTGCTGAAGTCTGAGATGCGTGCCTCGGGGAGAGGGGTGAGAATAAACAAGATGAGCTGGCACAGAGTGGCTGAGCCGATGGCTACTGTGGGCAAGGCAGGCTGCAGTGTACCTCTTGTATGTGAAACGTGTCCCCTGGTGGCCTCCCAGGGAGCCCCAGGCCTAGCCTCAGTCACAGTCCCTGCCACGTCTTCTGGCTGGCATGGTTTGAGGGTCAGGGTCATGACAGCCCATAGTGCAGGGCCAGCCATTAGACTCACACCCAGAGCCGGGGCCAAGGGCCTGTCCCAGTTGTGGCAGGAGGCTGGTGCCAGGGAGCTGCCCAGCCTGACATCATGCCCCTGGGAGACTTAGGCAGACTTGCAGGGAGTCATGGGGCTGTGTGTGTGGCAGGGTAGTATGGGGAATGAGGTGATGGGAAGGGGAGCTGGGGATAGCACCTCAAAAGACAACCTTAGTCTTGGCTCCCAGCACCAGCCCCCGTGATGTGGATGGCATTTAAATGGTCCTTCATTTAACCCGTGGCCACCTTCTAGCCAGTGTGGTGACCCTACACAGTGCCTTGTCACAGACCCATGACAACACCAGTCGGACGGACTCAGGGGCCCACACATCCACCTCTGGGGGGCACTCTTGTTCCAGTTCTGCTCCTCTGCCCCCTCCTTCAGGTAGGACAATTCAGCAGCCGCCAGGATTTGGCCAAAGGCCATAGGTGACGCAGGGCTCAGAAGAAGTGGGGGGCAGATGGAGCGGAAGCCAGCAGCAGCAGAGGTAGGGAGGGGTTCAGCCTGTTGCTGTTTCTCAGTTCTTTCAAAGCTGAGGCTGACACAGACACAGAACCAGGTGCAGGCCCCTGGGGAGGCCTGGTGACCCCTCCTCCCCTAAGGCCCACATGAAGGTCGATGCAGCCCCGGAGAGTGGGGCACATACCCATGCCTGGAGAACCACGGGGTGTTCATGGAAAGCATGCATTGTTACAAACCTAGGCATGGGACACAGGGTCGGTCTTGTCTTTTGTACATAAATCTATGTGTCTTGGAATTCCAGTTCCTCCTGCAGGGATGTGTGTGTGTGTGTGTGTGTGGCTTTCAGCACTGCAGAAATCAACACAGTCAGTGGGAGCAGACTCCCCTCTTCATATTGTTATCCTACTCACTCTGTAGACGGAAGAGCCATGGCTTGGCTGTATTCTCCCCACGGTTCCTACACACACACACACACACACACACACATGTGTCCTTGACACGGAACACAAGCTTACATAGTGATAGGATTTCGTGATGGTTTTGACAAAATTCTAATCATGTTGAACATTTTTCCCTCTTGCTGCTACTCCATCTCTCTCTTACCTGCCATGTAATATTCCACCCAGAAGGTGACTATAATTTATCTTTCTATCCCTCTGCTCCAGTTTTCAGTCCTGCGCCGACTCCCTTGTTGCTGTTCCCTCTTTACTGTGACCAGTAAGTGGAGTGTCTCTTTGCAGGGTGGAGCCCCTGCTGGGTCCCAGCAATGTGTACCCTTGCCCATTTTCTCTCTGTGGCTTCTGGGATGGCGGCTAGTGGTGATAAAGGCCAGGGCATTTGTGTCCTGAGCCACAGCATGGCTGCCCTGCAGAATAGGAGGCAGGAGGCTCTCGGGTCATAGCCCCATTGGGGAAGGAGGAGGGGCAGGCTGGGGGCGGCATGTGCTCTGAGCTGCTCAGGTCTGGCAGCATAAGATAGTTCCCGATACAGCAGAGGCCAGCAAACAACACCACATCAGGGTTGAGCTCGAGTAAAGGGCACGTGGCACTGAGGTGACACTGTCCTTGGGTGGGCAGGCAGGCTCGCCTACTCTGCGACCCCCCTCTGTCATTGCCGGGCAATGTCTGACCACTCTAAAAGGCAGGACCTTGGCAGGAGGCTGAGCATGCTTTGGTGGGGTGGCACAGGAGGCCAGGAGGCCTGCTGTCACCTCCTGCTCTGCTGTGTGACCCTGTGTAAGAAGCTAACCTCTCTGAACCCCAGGAGGCCCCTTCTCCTAATCCCTGCTCCTTCCTATGACAACACCTTGACAATGCCTCCTGCTCTAACACCAGGACAGGCTGCGTTGGGGGGCAGCCCGCCTTACTCCTGCCCCCTTTCCTGGGTTCCACTTTCTCAAGTTCTCTTTGGCTTTGTTTTCTATGAGAGTCTAGAAGGGGTGCTGAGGTGGCCTCCCTCTCTTGGCACCTGTGACTAATTGGGCTCCAGTGAATTCTCTCCAGGGACCTGGCGAGCAGCAAAGGAGAGCTCTCCTACAGGTCCTTAAGGCAGTGAGCAGCAGTGGGGCAGGGCAGCTCTTGGAACTGAAAAGGAATCCTAGAGATCAGAGACCAGAGTCAGTAGGAGGGAGGCCGGGCAGGGCCTGGGACACCTGCTGTTAGGCTCACCTGGTGGCTTCTTAGGGAGGGGGTGTCATCCGGGGAGGACTAGGCAAGGAAGAGGGGCCAAAGGGAAGGCCCCAGGCGGGAGCAGCCAAAGCCCTGTGGTAGACCACGCAGCACAATGCCAGCTGGGCTGTGTGGCCTTTTCCGTCGCCTCCCTTCCATCCCCAGCCCTTTTGCCACTCTTCCTTCTGTTCAGGCCCTGCTCCTTCCTGGCACCTGCAACCTGTAGTAGGCAATGAGAAGCTTCGGGAACAGGCAAGCAGGAAGCAAGGGTTGAGCTACCACTTGTCGTAAGTGCAGGAGGCAGACAGAGGCACGAAAGAATGGGGAGCTCTTCCAGGGCTGTGGGGCTTGCCCATGAACCCCCTTCTGGGATGAAGATAGACCAGGTGGGGTGGGGGGGGAGGTCCTGGGTGGCCGAGGCGGGGGATTTGAGCCTTACATCATGGAAAGACCCCTCTTCTTGCCCACACGGGTACCTAAGAGCCCTAGTGGTAGGATTAGCCTGGCTGTGAACCGGCTGTGCAGCCCCAGGGGAGTCACACCCTCTGTTGCGCTCTTAAACTGCACTGGCTGGGTGTGGTGAGGGGCAGTTTTTCCTAGACTGCAAAGGGCCGTGACTGCAGTTTGGACAGTTCTACACGCCTGTTGCGAGTGCGTTTGGCTGTCCTCCCCCCGCCCCGCCCCCCCCCCCCCGGGAGAGACCAGGGCAGAGCAGAGTAGTGGAGTCCTCTGTCTATAGCTGACTCATCTAGTCCGAGGCCCTGTGGTCTACCCTTGGCCACCTGGTAACTTTCCCTGAGTCGTGGCAGGTGTAGCCTACAGGGAACATGTGTGTCATCTGGAATACTGGGAGCTTGCAGCCCTATTACAGCACTAAGGGCTCTGCAAATACAACCCGTTTAGCCCATTTCATGGATGGAACCATCTGCCACCTCCACCATCAAACAGGTGTCTGGAGACCCTTGCTCTCCGCCCCTCCAGCTTTGTCAGTTCATCCATGGACATCATGAGCCCCTGCCTGCCTACTCCACTGCCAGCCACTCCTACCCCCACCGCCAGCCGGGGTGAAGACAAGAGGTAGGAACCGAGGGAGTCCCGTTTCCTCCTCTCCATCCACCACCGACCCCCCTCCCTGCCCTCCACCCCAGGATAAACACCTCTAGCCCCCACCCTGCTGGTGGAGCGGAGCTGTTGGAGGGAAACAGATCGCTTATTTTTCTGGAATGACAGAGAGCAAGCCTAGCCATATCAGAGGTTTCTAAGCGGGGGTGGGTGGGTATCCCTCCTTGCCTGAGGCTGACCCCCGTAGACATTTGGGTCCCAACACTGGCAGTTGCCCTCATTTTTGCTGGTACTTAAACCTCACCCCCACTCCAACCCAGAAGCAGCCAGGACCATCACCCCAAAATAACCCTGTCCCACCACACCCATTGCTGCTCTGGCTGGGAAACCCAGCTGCCTGAGGGGAACAGGAGACGGTGGACACGAGGAGGCAGGCGCGTGGTGCTCAAGACCCCATCCTCCACTCCCACCCCTCCAACCCGCCGGTTTGGAGAGGCCAAAGGTCTCCGGTCTCAGGATGTGCAGGTTGCCTCGTCCCAGCGGGGCTGCACTAAGCTGGCATTAGCCCAAGGAAGGAGAGCAAAGATTCCACCACCGCCGCAGAAACCTGTGGCTGCCATGGAGGAGGGCAGGAATGTGGTCACCTCAGAGGGAAAAGGGGGGCAAGAGGGCCAGGGGAGGGCGCGGGGCGCGGGGAGAGCGCCTTTCAGCGCTTTTTCTGGGAAAGCTCCAGCTCGCCCTGAACGGTGGCTGCAGGAGCCGGTGGGCTCCACGTCGAGGAACAAAAGTTACTGACAGTTGAAACCAAAGCAGCCGGGGTGCCTTCCGAACACGCAGATGCCCAACCGCGGCAGGCAGACAGGCGTGCGTGCAGATCACCTCCCGCCCCGCTTCGGATCTTCCCTATCCCTCACGCACACACACCTGCCCGCCAGGAATCGGGGCCCCCCGCCCCGCCCCTCCGCCGCAGGACCTCCCACCCCACCCAGCGCCTCCACGGCGGGGCTTCGAAGTTGGGTGCTCCACTGACCGTCTGCGTCAAAGTGCTTCCAGATCTCCAGGAACTGCGACGCCGTCAGCTCGGCCAGGTGCAGGTAAGGGGGTTGCTGCTGCTGCGGGCCAGCCATGGCGAGCGGCTCGGAGACCTGAGGCAGCGCCGCGCTCTGCTCCCGCCGCTCGGACTCTGGCACTCGCGCCTGGACTGCGCGCCACGCGCGGACCTTATATACGGTCCGCGGCTGCGCGCTCGGCCGACCGCCGGCAGGGGGCGCGCGGGCCCCGAGGATCAGGCTGGGGCGCGGCGCGGCCGGGGCCGGGGCGGGCCGGCAGGTGGGCGACATCACCCCCAGGTCCTGCAGCCCTGCCCCTCGCAGACGTCCACCCAGAGACACCCCCCACCCCAGAGGCTTTGCTTTTCGGTGGGCTTGGGAACGAGGCTGCTGTCCCTGCTCGTGTGACCGCTGCGCGGTGTGGGGCCCTCCGGTGTTTTTCAGGTCTGGTCCTGGGGTCCCTCTCAGCCCGCCTTTGCACGACGGGAGGAAGCGGACCACTTTTCTGACGAGGGATTGGAAGGCTCCAGTGGCCCAGCCAAGAAGTGGCGGAGGCAGGATTAGAACCCAAAGTCCTTCTCATACTAAAGGGGCCACGTTCTCAGAGCTCTGCTATATGGACAGCAGGCTAGGGGGCGTGCAGAAGGGGCCGTGTGTGTGTGTGTGTGTGTGTGTGTGTGTGTGTGAGGGTCGCACTGTCTCTTTAGGTCTTCATTACCCCTCACCTGGGCACCTTCCCTCCCCCCCCCCCTTCACCACTTTGCACCTGCTTCTCCCCTACCGCTTGCCTTTCTCTGGGAGAATGTGTCCTGGGGTGGCAGAATGAGCCCCTCCCGCATGCAGTCTTCATGCCAGGCTTGGGACTTTGCCTACTGCTGCCCCAAGCTGGTCTGAGAGCCTCTCCCCACGTAGCAGACAGGACTCTCCTGGGGTGGCGGGAGGTGTGGAGGACCAGCTCTGTCCTGGTTCCTTCCGGTGGTCTGCCCCAGGGGTGGGTCTGTGCCAGCTGGTGATCGTCTGTCTCTCCCCGCCCCTGCCGGGGCACTTCATCTCTTCCCCCTGTGCCCTGCCGAGGTGAGGAGCCCTGGACTGTGGCTCATTACCATGTGCTAATGAGTGTTAGCGGAATGCCTTCCACGCACACGCAGAGTGAAAGGGAAGGAGGGAGGTGAGACAGGAAAGGAGGTCACCAGGGGAGAGGGGGCACCCAGGAGGAGATGACGGGGGCAGGAGAGGGCCTGGTGTGAGCCACGAAGGGACAGGGACGAGCTGAGTGTAGGTTCCACAGCTGCCCCACTTGACCTCTGCCCTGGGCAGGTGTGGCTGGAGCCACTCACTGAAGCTAGCTTTAGCTGGCTCCGGGCACCGCCACCCCTCACTGCGAGGGCTGAGAGGCTGGGTCTGTCGCTGGGCTCCGGAGGCTGGGAGGTTAGCAGGCGCTGCAGAGCCAGAAGCTGCAGTCTGTATACTGGAGCAGTCTGTGTGACGGTGGTCTCTGTGCTTCCCCGTTTCCCTTCTGTTCAGATGAAGGATGCACCATTCACCTCTTAGAGTGGACCTGGGGGGTGTTAAATGAGTGAGTGCTCCCACTGCCAGTCGGGCACCTGGGGATCAGTGGGCAGCTTGGTGGGGAAAGCCCTTGGTCAGCAGCCTTTCCTAGGGCAGGGGGGATGGGTAGCAAGGACTCCCTGGAGGGGTTCTGATCTTGCAGCTCTGCAAGAGCTGCAGCTCTGACACCTGGGGTTCAGCCTGCCTCTCCCCTGCCCAGGTATGGGGATGAGTGGGAGATGGAGGGGCAGGCAGCTCAGCCCTGGTGCTGTGCTCCGCTCCAAAGACAAAAGCCAGTGGTCACTGCCACTGCCGCTCCTCCTCCTCAAAGCTGCTGAGACCAAAGCCAGATGGTGTAGGGTGCCACCTCCATCCTCCGTACCAGGACACCTCCACCCTCTGTACTGGCAGTGCTTTAGGTTGCCTGGTGGGAGTCCTGGCCCCAGAGGAGCCCTGCACTCCCCGCCATGTTGCACAGTGTGGAGAACTGAAGACCCTTCGGTGCTGCACCCCCAAGCCCAGCAGAAGCATTCACGTTCAGTAATCCCAAGGCCTTGCCCTGGGCTCAGATGCAGAGCTCTCTCCAAGGGCTGCGAGTGCCTGGGCAAGCCACTGAGCCTCTTTGTTAGTGAAAATAGAGATTGGAATGGCAGTCCCACCGGGTCCAGGCCAGCTCGTGTGAAGCCCTTCATTACAAGGTAGGGGTTAGAGCACATCGACTCCTCACCAGAGAGACTTTGTCCTTAGGTCCCACCTGTCTCCTTGGTGGTCTCTGTCCCGGGCTGTGACAGACAGACCTGGCTGGGAGACAGAGGAGGCTTACCATTTTGGAGTGTGCAGTGTTTCTGGGCTCTTCTGAAGCTAAGCTGTTCTTTTTGGCCGGGCGGTGGGGGTGGGGGTTGGGGTTGCAGTCAGAGAATCTCTCCCGGGATCTTGGGTATGCCTGCAGCGCGGAGCCCGAATGAACACACCTGGTTCCTAGGTGGGCTGAGGCCAGTAGAACTCTGGTGGTCTGACTGCTTGTGAGAGAGGGCTGAGTGGTGCTCCTGTGACCTGGGTGAGGCCACTGTGACTGTCCAGGGCTGTGTCCAGGAGGAGGGAGGGCAAGCAGAATTCTCTGTAGCCCCAGGAGGCTGCTGTGATACCTTGGTGTGTGTGGTGTGGAGGGAGAGCTTCAGCCAGGCACCTGCTGGCATTTCAAGTGTCCCAGTAGTCCAGGGAAGAGGAGACTCTGGGCTCACTTCTGCAGAGGAGCTCAGACCCCCGTGTCTCCATCTTTGTCTGCTTCCTGTTGCTAGGACACAGTACCTGGAGCAGGTGATTCGTGAGGAGGAGACATTGTGTGTAGCTCATGGTTCTAGATTGGGAGCATCTGGGAGGCCTCGGAATGTGGGGCAGGCTGTCCCATGGCAGGCAGAACAAGCTGCTGGCTCTGGACTCTCCTTCTCCTACAGCTGGTACTGCAGGTGGAGTGTTAGCCTGTGAGCCACCGTGCTGGCCCCTCCCAACATTCTTAATACTGCAGCAAACAAACCTGAACATGTGAATCAGGGGAGGGGCATAGTCTGACCACAGGGTAAGAAGAACAGCAGCAGCCAGATTCCACAGCTCGCTCCCATAGCCCACAAGTGTCCAGACCCCCAAGAAAACCTCCTCTTCCCTGTCTCTCCTTTGCAGCAAGCCCCTCCCTTCCTGGGAGGAAATGTCCCAGAGCTCTTCCCCTGATCCCCGGCCTGCCCAGGCTCAGCCCTTTCTTCAGCCCGGGCCTCCTCCAGTGTGCACTGAGGAACAGGAGAGACTGGGGTCTGGAGCTGGGCCAGGCAGTGGTGGTGGAGCTGACGATGTTGCCTACACCGCCTTCGGAGCCCGTGTGCAGACTTGAAGGTATGGTGTTTGTGTGTGGGCCCCACGGCGTGGCCACTTTAAAGATAATGAAACCAAGGCTACAACCGTGACCTAGCCGGGGCAGGGTATCAAGACCACTGTGGCCTCAGCCAGTCCTCAGGCATGTGGCATCCTTGTGGTCCGGGGGTGGAGCCTCCTGGGGTGGTCCATGCCCAGTGCTCCTCACAGTGCAGCTGTCAACATGCCCAGGGCACCTCCCATGGGTGAGGAGGGATGCCCCATCACCGCTGGCCTCTGGTGGCTGGCTGTTTGTTCCAGGAGGGACAAAAAGGTGCTGTCTTTACTTTCACAACCCCCACTGCTGGTGCGGAGACGTGCCTGGCTGGCCTGTCTCCGCCCAGATCCCCAGAAGCCGCCCGGGCAGGGAGGAAGGCCTGGCAAATTGGGAGATGGTGAGGGGCCAGGAACTGATGACAAACAATCCTCAAGCCAGTGTGACCGCTGGGCCACAGTGATTGGCATAGCTGCTCGGAGTACCTGGTGTTGTTTTGGAGAACATCAAAGGAAAACAAAAAAAAAGAAAGAAAGAAAGAAAGAAAAGAAAACCACCCCAGAAGGTGACCCGGTTCTTCGCTCTTCCTGCTTTCACATGTTGCTTCTTTGGTCTTTATAATGGCCAGGCCTGGTGACTGGGGTGCCTGAGAGCTGGCCTTGCTTCCCAGAAGGGAAGATGAAAGGGATGCAGGAACCCAGCAGTTTCCATGGAAACAGATGGAGATGGTGTCGAGGGGGTGGGGTGGGGAGTAGGGAGTCCAGAGGAACCCAGAGGTGGGGAGCAGGACTTCTGGGCACCTTGGTCTGAAGCTTGCTGCTACCAGCCCCCTCTGCCCTGAGGCTTGCAGCTACCGGCGTAGCAACAGGAGGCAGAACAGCCACAGCTGTAGACTCAGTGACAACCCCAATCCCACCAATGGCTGAGAGGTCAGGCTGCAGCATCCCTTGGGTCCCTTTTAGCCCCCGGAAATACTGCTGAGCCTGGGGCACTCCCCCTCTGACCTTGGACCTCCTTGTCTGCAAGTGAAGATGAGCCCAGTGGTGAGCCAAGAGGCCCATGTGAGCGTGAAGAGAAGCAGTCTGTGTGAAAAGTGAGGGAGCAAGCCCAGGGCTCTTGGTGTAGGGGCTGGGTCCATCTGGGCAGCCCACCCTACCCTGAGCCAGGCCATCAGTCCAGGGACCAGCAGCAGAGGTTACCAGGAGCCACTGGGGTCCCCTCTCCGCTTGTGAAGTATTGTAGGGAGCAGGAAGGGCTGCAACAGCTGCGGCCCTCCTGGTCTTGGGAGTGTAACTTCGGAGTGGTCTGAGACAGAAGAGGGCACAAAGTAATGGGGGAATGAGGATGAAGCCAGTATTGCAAGAGGGGCAAGATGTGTGTGTGTGTGTGTGTGTGTGTGTGTGAGAGAGAGAGAGAGAGAGAGAGAGAGAGAGTAGTGGGGCAGAGATGGCAAGAAATCAGGTCACAGGCGCCTGGAGCTGAGCCTGGGGAACACCGGGCTTCTTAGTCATGTGACTCAATACGCATTCATTGGCATTAGAGTGCATCTGCGTTAGACCTTCTTTTACTTGCGATCTAAAAGGCACAGCTGGTAAAAGTCACAGAGGAGAGGGTGGTCTCTGTGGGAGCTAAAGCTAGGAAACCTTCCGGAGCCAAAGCCGCTTCCTCCCTTTTACTGTTGGTCTTGTTTGAGTTTGCCA